AGGGAAAGCTTTCATAATATATAAAGTTTTTAGGAGTAGCCTGTATTTTGCTTCATTATTTCGAGCTTGCTAGATAAAGAAAAATTGTTGATGTATCAAAAAAACCTAAAATATACTTATAGCAAAATTATGAAAAAGTTAAATGGCTCTCATACGCGTGCAAATATCTTGTCTCTATCTGCTCTTTTCTCTTTTCACCAATTCCTTCGCCTCGGGAAAAAGCCAAATCCAAATAATAATCTTCTTCACTACCCTCCAAATGGTCATCTCATTCTTTTTTAGTTTTTTCTAAATGTTCCTTTGTTTTTTGTGCAGGTGTTATTACTTCTTCTACATCTTTTCTAGGTTTAATGCTTTTATTAAAAGCGTTGGGGTCTCTGTAATTTTGTTCAGCCATACTAGTTATTTTCTACCTCCTCAATCAACTTTTCTAACATTTCAGCTTCTTTATCATTTTCGTCCTTATATAAGTCACGAACTAAAGTTTTATACCCTTTTAAAGTATCAGTTTTTAATGCTATTTCTATGTCAGAAACAGAAATATTTCCTCCCGTTACTCTTTCCGTGCCACTTTGTCAATAAGCAAGTAGTACTTTTAAATATTCTCTTATTTTTTCTAATTTGTTGTCTTTCATAATATTATTTTTAATTAAAACTCATTCTGGAAATTTTTGCGTGTTTATTGTATTCCTCAAATTTAATTCTCAGTACTTCAAGTTTTCCCTTTTTGTTTTTCCCTGTATCATCTATCTTGTATTTAGTTCGGCATTGTAGAAGCCAACCAACTATAGTTGCTATGTTCTTATTAGTGAATACATAATCATCTTCTAAATCTTTGGTATTGTATTTTGTGACTCTTTCTTTGGTTGCTTCAACCATAATGCTTGGCAAGTCTTTCTCTTCAAAAAATTCCAGCAATGGATTTTCAAAAACATATTCACCCGGTTCTCTGACTTTTAGACTTTCAGCCATTTCTTTTCATTCTTTTGCTCCTTCTATGTCTCCTTTTTTCTCGGCTTCTTTTGCTTTTTTAAGGTAAAGGTTTTTTCTTTTTTTTACCTTATCTTTTTCTTCTTGAGCAACCGTCCATAATTTTGAATTCATTTTACTTTTTAAATCCTTAATTAGTATCAAATTAAGATATCGATGTCCTTCGCTCGGATCAATTGGTACATTTTCTTTATCCTCGCTATAAAAGTCAACGATTTTCTTTATAGTTGACTTACTAATTAAACTGATATTTGGTTTTTTTTTATTATCTTTTTTTTTGAATTCTTCTAATATTTTTGATGCTGCATAATCTTTTTTTAATGTCTCAATAGGGTAAACTTTGGCCTCATTCACTAGTGACATTCACACAGCTACCATGGTAGAATCACGGGCTCCTCGACCTCGTTGTTGTAATAAGTCGGCAATATTACAAGGGACTGGTACTCGTTTCTCTACTAATTTTTTCTCCCCTCCAACTGTCTCTTCAACAACCAGAGTTATCATTACTTCACCTGTCGACAATACATCTACGTCCCCAAAAGAAAAGCCAACTGAGAAATCATTTGAAGCAACAACAAACAATGGAGGTTCCAAACTCCTGACAATATCAGTTGCATAGGGTTTCAAAGCCTCACTTAATACAAGAACTTTAGTGTTTTTTTTTAACAAATCAAGTTTTATTTTATCGTTAGGCGCGTCACAAAACGCTATTACTTTTCTTTTAAATATAGAAGGATGTTTTTGTGTGTTAATTTTGGTAAAATCGGTTAAGTAATAATCTGTCATCATTCCCGCTAGTTTTTTAGAAGTTGGCAAGTCTGTGAAAGTAGCTGACATTTCCACTATTTTAAATGGTCTTATTTCTTTGTGATATTTTTCAATTCCTTTGATTCTGTCACCCATCAACCCCGTCAGTAAGGCCTGATAAGCAGGAGGCGACTGGCTATGGGCTTCATCAAATACTACTCATTCTTTAATAAGCGGTTTTCCATCCTTGTCTACTTTTTGATTAACATAGGCATCTAAAAATTCTCACCAGGTGAAGACATTAATCATTGAACTTGGAGAATTGTGAGTCGTTTCATATCCGACGTGTTTTTTAGTGCAAATTAGACAAACTGTAACTCTTTTTGCATCTTCAATTTTTTTCTTGTTTTCTTCAGTAGGTTCTCTAGCTTCTAATTCTTTAATGATTTCCAGAGCTGATTGCTCGTCGGACAATCAATCATTGTGTCCATTTAAAACTGATCCTACAAGCGACTTACTTGGAACTACCAAAGTTGCTCCTCGAGGAAGCGAACTATCTTCTTTTAATTCTTCAGTACTTTTTCCTCTATGGGCTAAGCATCGTAAGAAGAAAGTCGACTTTCCCGTTCCGGTTCCTAAACATATTCTCTTTTCTTGTGGATCATCGGTTTTGAAATCATTATATACATCCTTTCCTTGATAAACAAATTTAGCAGTAGGCAGAGTGATTCATTGTTTTAAAGTAAGATCTTGATCGGGATCTATTACTCTTCCTTTTCAAAAAGTAATCGGACTCACTTTCTTATCGGCCGGTTTTGCTTTTGAATCTGCTCCTATAGTTTTGAATGCTTCATTAAGAACTGCCCCCGAAGGAGCTGGCTTAATTTTATCCAAAACCAGATTGCTCTTCATTTCCAGCTCTGCCTTAAATTCTTCGTTGATGAGAATCTTATCATCGCCCGGCTTAAGATTTTTAACTCGATTTTCTAACTCATCAACTTTTTCTTGTAGAAGTTCGATCACTTTTAAATTTACTGGAGGTGTTGATTGGTTTTCTATTTTTTTTTGATCTTTTCGTCGAAATCTTTTAACCTTACAATAAGTTCGTCTTTGTGTATTTCATTCATATATTTTTTTCTTTACTAAACTTTAGTTTGAGCTACCTGATGCCCTCTCTCCATTTGCTTAATGGAAAATTCATTTTCGTACTTTTGCAATTGAAGTTCTTGTGAACTAGCACGACTAATGCTTTGCTGATAATTAGCAAACTCGCTTGCATTAACGGTTATTCTCAAATTTTCCAATAATTCTTTTGACTTATTTAAGCGAGCCAAAGCTTGATCACGAACTATTTTGAATAACTTTCCGTTTGTTTCGCCAACTAACTCAAGCACTTTTCGGTTACGACTGATAAAAACTAGTCAGGTCAATTTGTCCGTTTCTTCTTTACTATCTCTAAACTTTTCTAAATCAAATATAAGATTCAAAACCTTCTGCCTTTTTTCTTGAACTTCCCGACTATTGTTATTAGGGTCTAATATTTCGTCAGCTGATTTAAGCAGTTCGTTGAAGTGAGCACGAATTGGTCGAATAGAAGCTGCTAATTCAAAAGCTTCATTTTCTTTTTTATTAATTTCTTCTTTGGTTTTCATTTGGCGAAATTTATTTGCATAATCTCTATATTCATTTCCCAAATCGGAAGCTTGTAGTCTAGGCGCCTTGTCCAAAACTCCTTTAACTAACCTTATTGCTTCTTCACCACGTATTCTGGTTTCCAAATTTTCAACCACTTTGCTTAGGGCTTTATCTCCTAGTTCTTTTTTATCTTTCTCTACCACAGCATGATATTTAGCAGGAATAGGACTAGCTCCTCATTCGATTTGAAACACTCTTAATTCTTTTAATAAATCATTTGATTCTTCTTCTGTCAAATGAACATCTCTAGCAAATCTTTGAGCTTCATCAATCTTGGTTTGGATTTCTTTTTCATGTTCTTTTTGTTTGTCTTCTTCTATTTTTTTCCGATCATTGATGTTTTTAATTAATTTATCTCCTGCTGTGACAACTGCTTCGGGAGTAGAATTTTCTTCAAGTAGTTTTTTTTCTCATTCAGAACCCAATACATCTGCTTCATCTTTACGATCAATAATTTCAGTTTGATTTCAGTGCCGATTAACTTTTGTAATCACTTCTAAAACCTTTTCTTTAAGTTTTTTTAATTGTTCAACTTGGTTTTGAGATTCCTCGACTTGCTTTTCTAAACTTTGATGTCCAGAAACATTACACACTAACTGTCAATATCGTTGATAAATATTTTCTGCCACCTTATTGAGCTTAGAATTAACTACTTTTCAAGCCTTGCCTTCATCGGTGTTCTCCTTAGCCGTTTGGTAAGGCAAAATATTGTCATAATGTGCTTTTTGGAAGGTCTCAACGGCTTCATTTACTTTTTCTGTACTATTTCAGTCGGTCAAGTTTCCCGGACCGCCATTCTCTTTATCGTTTCGAATACTCCTTAAGTGGGATAATAAGTTAGTTGCGGTTTGGATCGCTCCCGAACTATCTAGACTAGGATCTTTGATTACCTCTTTTTCATCCTCAGTTAAGTCGGGATTCCACTTTGTGTTGGTGTTGGGATCCTTATCAAGAGCATCTTGGCGATCTTTTTCGAGATTATTTTGCCCTTCTCTGCTGCTAGAGATTTCTTTTTGGATTTTTTCAACCTCTGCTATTGTTGATGCGTTTTTAATCGATTCTTTTTCTTTTTCGCTCAATTCCGGAGTTCATTTTTTACCATCATTTTGCAAAGCATTTCACTTAGCATCAACAATCCCTTTGTTTTCTGAAATCAATTTATCATCAGTATTGTAACCAGTTTCATCTCACTTTTCTTTTTCTTTTTTAATAATGTCATTGATATCTTTGTTTTCTTGATTGCTAAAATCACTAACATCACTTAAACAAAAGATTCGGTCATTAAGGTTATTGCTAAACCAATATTTTCTAAAAGGAATGCCTTTGTCAACTTTTTTACCAAGATAATGAGCAAAGTAATAAAATGCATCATAACTTGCACCGTCTTTATCTTTACTTATACCGTTGACTATATTGTTTCCATCTTCATAAGTGTGTTTAAAGGTGCGAATTTCTTGGCTAGTAAATGTTTCTTGGCTAGTTCTTCTTCGATAGGTAATTGTTTCTTCAACTTCTACTAAATAACCATCTCGTCCTTCTGCTGTCTTTTTCTTTTCTATTTTTTTAATGGTTAACGGCGTTGAGGAATAATTAGTATTACTGAAGTGTATACCAGTTGTGTCTCAGTTCATATTATTTATTTCCCTCCTCCGTTAAATGGTAAATTAGTTGGTTGGACTATCTTAGCTTCCATTTCTCCTCCTTGATTAGCACCGGTAAGTTCTGCTATGATTTCATCAAATTGTTGTTGCAAGTCTTGTTTTTCTTGCTGGAGTTGAGTGATTTGTTGGTTGAGTTTTGCTATCTCAGTTTGGCAAGTTTGGTGATCTTGGAGTTGTTGATTAAGTTTGGTTAGCTCTTGGTCTTTATCTTTGATTTGTTGGGCTAATTGCTCTTTTTCTTTTTGGCAATTAGCATGCTCGGCTTTTAATTTATCTCTTTCTTGTTCGGCAGTAGTTTTATCTTTTTTAGCTTGCTCTAGTTGGGTACTGAGGGATTGCTTTTCTTGTTGGAGTTGAGAAACTTGGTTAGTGAGGGTAGTTTTTTCACTATTTAATGTATTAATTTGTTGATTTTGTTGGCTATTGGTATTATTTAGACTATTGATTTGGTTTTGGAACTGTTGCTTCTCGGCTGCACAATTTTGGTGTTCTTGGAGTTGTTGTTTTAGGTTTTCAATTTCTCTTTGAAGTAATTGGGAGCTATTTACACTACTTTGTTGCCTATTTATTACTTCTCGATAAAATGGTTCAATGTTTCTCATCCTCCAATTTCAATCATTGCCATTAAGGTTCACCACCACTCTGCTGTTTTTCCATAAATTCATTCTGGGTTGAAAGTGAGTTGTAAAGTAGTGTCTTCTATCTGAAGCAGCCATGTTTTGCATCGTTTGTAAATCTTGTTGGGTATCTTCGCCTTTTCATCTTTTTACAGCATATTCTCTAAATGCTTTCAGTACTCTTTGATCTATTTCTGTTGATTCTTTATAATTACCGCCCATTACTCATCCTGCATAATTTTCCACTTCTATTATTACTGGTAGTGGTAATTTGCAATATTCTTCTCAAACTTGTTCTTCTGTTGTCATTATCTCATTCCTCCTTTCAATTCATTGTTGTTTTTTAGAGCTATTGCTCGGAGTTTTAATTTAATATCTTTCATATAATTTACCTCATATTTATATTTTACAACTTTTTTGATTTTTATGTTAAGTTTTTTTCAGTTTGCTTTTATTCACGTGAGCGGCAATGAAAACATTATGCGGATTTCTTTTTGCGATAATTTATTAGCAGAATTTTAATCATTGGTTTTGCTAATTTCTTCAAGTAAAGAACCAGGATTGTCTCGTCGTTGAAATTTTTTATCTAGTTTAGCAAAAATAAGACTAAGGATTAAGGCACTAAGAAAAATCAGAAAAATTAAATAACAACACTGAAAAAAGCGTAAATCAAAAGAAAAATTTTTTCACTTTAAATGTTTACGGATATGTACTCGGTAATTTTTTTTTTTCATACTTATAATAATTTTTTTCTCTAACAGCACAAAAATATTCATAGAGCAGCCGCAAGTTAGTAAAAATATTTATTATATGGCTGCAGTTAAGTTAAAATCAAAAAAAGCTTTTCACAAAAGATTCAAAAGTACAGCCAGCGGTAATTTAAAAAGGGAAAGAGCTTATACTTCTCATTTATTTGTTAACAAATCTACCAAGCAAAAAAGGCAACTACGAAAAGCTACTCTTTTAGCAAAAAGTGATTTAAAGCGAGTTCGGAAAATGATCAATTACAAAAGCATTTAATTTTCTTTGGAAACTTTTAGAGTTGCCTGTTAATTTCTCATTATTAGAGTAAGTTTTGCTTAAAATTTTATTATAGATATTATTAATAATGAATGATGACGACACACACACACACACACACACACACAAAAGTTAACAATTTAGACGAAATAATTGCCAAAGCCAAAGAATATACTAGACAAGAGGATAAATGAAACTTAATAAGCAATTATTACAAATATAGAAAAAACAACAATATTGAAGTTGGAATAGTGATTGGCAATGCCAAAGGAGAAACAGCAGAAATCTACGCCGAATTTTTTGGATCTAAAGGGGAAATTTATGACAAATTTAGTAAAGAATTAACAGATTTGTTTCCCATAGAAATTAAGCCTTCCAAAACTGATAATCAAGGAAAAGAAGATAAAGAAAGCCAAGAATTAAACCAAGAAGGAGTCAAAAATTCTGCTTCTACACACGAAAAAGGAAGCGATAATAAACTAACGACTGGACTGATAATTGTTGGTTTAGTTTTTGGTCTCCTTTTGTTAATTGGCTTATTTTGCTTTTGTTTAAGGAAAAGAAAGAAAAAATAATATTATAATGCCTGCTCGCTTGAAAAAAAAAATTGTAATTAGTTTGACCTTTTTATTCCATTCGTTAGGAATTTTGGTAGCTTTTTTTAAGACTAAAAATAATCTCCCTTTTGATTTGTCTTTTCATTTGCTTCGTTTTTTTACTTGATGGTCAGTTCATTCTTCCATCTTAGCTATCTTGGCAACATTCATATTAGCTCGAGAAGACAAAAAGAAAACTTCCTCTTGGCTGTCCCAGTTTATTCCTTTTTTATCGGTAATTTTCAATTTAACTACTTTTTTGTTTTGCCTTTTTCATTTGTTTTTTGGTGCTTTGAAGTGACAAGATTCTCTTTTTTTAAATTTAAATTCAATCACTTGGCATTTTATCGCTCCTCTTTTAACTATTTATTGTTTCTATTCTTGGGTTAAGATAGATATCCTGCGAAAAAAATTAGCCAGAAGCGTTCTATGTTCCTTTATTTGACCTTTTTTTTACTTTGTCTATGTTTATAGCCTTTCTTTTCTTAATTCGGGTAGTAATAAATTGAGCCTTTATTTAAAAAAATATCCTTATTTAGTTTTTCAATTTATGGCAAAGAACCCTGTTGTATTTTTTGCAATTTGGTTGCCAATGGCTCTTTTGACTATTTTAATTTTGTTTACATTAATAGTCTGAACCAAAATAATTTTTGAGAAAAAAGTTAAAATTCTTTAAGTTAGTAATTTTTTATTTTAACTCTCTTTGTTTTTTATCCAAACAGAAACGACAAATTTTTCCTTCCCGAGCAGTTTCAGCACCCAGTAAATCATCTTTGTATTTAATATAGCAGATGCCACATTGAAAAGTTAATTCATCTTTTTTCAATTCTATTGTTTTGACTTGTTCTTCTTCTTTGCCTGGCAAAAATCCTCCTACGATACCAGCAGCCAGAAAAGCCGTATCGACAGCCATGAAAATGATTGTTGGATAAACTCACCACGAAGCACCAGACAAAATTGCTTGCATTGCACTGAGTGTTGACATGTAAACAAGAGGGAAAGCAAACGACGCCGGCATTAGAAAAGTTAGCCACAGACTGTTTTTGAAAACTTTCTTTTTCTCTTTTTGGGACAAATCAATTAAGCGTCAAATTCAAACACTAAAACAGATGAGAAAAGATAAAAAACCAATAGTTAAAAGAATTGTTCATTTTGTTCGGGGATCGGTCGTGGATTCATATTAATAATTTTAAGTTTGCCCCTTCAATTCTAAGGGTTAAATAAAAAGAGAGTCTAACAAAATCTTACGAATGAAAATTCATAAAAAAACTGCTTCCAGTAAATAGAATAGCCTAAAAATCATTTATATATGGTGCAAACTGCTGAATTAATTAAAAAATATCAATTTCATGAAAAAGATACTGGTTCGACGACGTTTCAAATAATTTTGTTGAGTGAAGAAATCGAAAAAGAAAAATCTCATCTTGCCAAGAACAAAAAAGATATTCCCTCTAAAAGAGCATTATTAAAAAAGATTGCCCACCGAAGAAGATTTTACCAATATTTAGGCAAGCACAATCCTGAAATACTGCAAAAATTACGAAATGAGTCCAAAGATTTAATAAAATTTCTAGGCATTAAAGGATAATTTCATCATGGCAAAAAAAGATTATTACGAAGTCCTGGGAATAAATAAAGATGCTTCCGAAGCCGAAATTAAAAAAGCCTACCATAAATTAGCCTTGAAGTATCATCCTGATCGTTATGCTGGTAAACCAGAAAGTGAAAAAAAAGTTGCTGAGGAAAAATTTAAAGAAATTAATGAAGCTCATAGTATACTTTCTGATAAAGAAAAACGACAAAATTACGACCGCTATGGACATGCTGGCACCGAGGGATTTCAAGCCGGCGGAGGATTTGAAGGCTTTGGGGGGAATACTTCCTCAATTTTTGAAGACATTTTCAATACTTTTTTTGGCGGAGAAGGTTATTCACGAAGGACACGTACCGGTGCCAGTGAATGAGAACCAAGAAAAGGTGAAGACATTTTAATTAAATTTACTTTGAATTTTAAAGAATCTGTTTTAGGCACTTCTCATCAAATAGCCCTTGAATTAGACAAAGCCTGTGCGAATTGTAAACAAACTGGTGCTTACTCCGATAAACATATTTCTAAATGTTCGACGTGTAAAGGAAAAGGAGTGGTGCAAATGGTTCAAAAATCTTTCTTTGGAGAAAATATTTACACCCGTGTCACTTGTCCTGATTGTCAAGGTCGCGGACAAGCAATTACCAAAAAATGCCCGGTTTGCTTAGGCAAAAAATTCATTAAAAAAAAAGAAACTATTTCAATTGAAATTCCGCGAGGCGTTCAAGGTAAACAACTACGAATGAGAAATGCGGGTAATGACGGATGATACGGAGCCGAAAAAGGAGATATTTACATTGAAATTGAGGTAAAAAAACACCGCTATTTTCAACGAAAAGGGAATGATATTCATGTTGAACTTCCGATCTCCTTTTTAGACGCTATTTTAGGTAATTATATAGAAGTAATAACACTAGAAGGCTTAGAAAAAGTTAAAATTCCGGCTGGGACTCAGAATGATGATTACTACACTTTAAAAAATCGAGGTTGTTATCTAGGCATTGGTCGAAGTTCTCGCGGAGATTTTTATGTTCATTTTCAAGTAATCATTCCTCGACGACTTACTGAAGAAACCAAAGAAACTTTAAGAAGAATTGAGCGAGGGAGCAATTGAAGCCCCAACCATGATTTTATTGAAAAGAACAAGGATATTTTGAAAGAGTAAAAGTGTTATCAATAAAGCGAGAGTATTTATTCCTCTTGGACGTTTTGTATAATTTGTTTTTGTTTTTGTTGATTTTGCTTAGTCAAAATACGAGCAATTTCTTTTCTAATTTTTTTGATTTGATGAGTTTTTAGCAATTGACCGGCTTTTTGCTCTAACTTAAGGACAAATAGAGCCTGACGTAATTCAGTTAAATTCGGTACTTTTATTTTTTTTTTACTAGTCAAATTTGTCTTATTTGTCTTCATCACTTATCTTTTTCATAGCCTAATATTAACTATAATTACATTTTTAAACCAAAGCCAAAAACTTTTTAAAAATTAACCAACTTTAATTATGACTTGCCGAAGTTTTTGAATTGGCATCAAACTATTGCTAAAATTATTGTGTCAATTTAATTGATTCCTTCAACTTTTAATTCTTTCTTCTCATCTTTGCTGTCAGCAATCTAATTCATAAGCTTTTTGGCAGTTTATTCAAAAATCAAAAGACATTCCAAAATAAAGGGCTAAACGGCAAGCAATATCATTCTATAGAAACAACTCAAAATCTTTTGAATAAACTCAAAGAAAAATTATCTAAATAACAATTAGAAGCAAATTTTTGGTTCATAAAATGAAAAATTAATGTTAACTAAAAAATCAAAATAGAGAGAGAGAGAGAGAGAGTAATAACCAAAAAATTACAAAAGAAAATTGAGCTGTATTCAGGGCAAGTAATAATAAACAAGAATAATCAAAGTAGATTTTCGCAATAGTTCAGTAAACTTCTAAAGCGGCTTAAAAATTACCATAGGAAAATATGGGACAAAGGATTAAATATTTAATTCAGTTATGGAAAAAAGACCGTTCTCGTTTTTGACAAGAATTGAAATTGTGATTTTTTTCTTGATTTCGTTGACCGTTTCGTTTGACAAATCCGATTAAATGTCGTACCATAAGAATGACTAAAAGTTCATTGATTGGTCATTCTTTTTATTTTTTCCACCCACGTAGTTATAAAGTTCGTAGCCCCATGGCTGGTTATGTTACCAAAATTTACGTAGATGGTACAACCATACATTTAATTGATGACAACGGCTTACAAATCATTTTAACCATTAGGTTTAGTTCTCGACTCACTTCAATTTATGAAGCAGTTCGTTGTTTGGTTAGAGAAAAGCAAAAAGTTAAGCAAGGCAGCATTCTTTTTCTAATTATTCATGAAAAGCAAATTGCTAGTGTCGCAGTGATGATCCCTTGGCAACCTTGGCTATTGAAAAAAGTGAACAAATGACCACGCTTAGGAAACTATTTTGCTAGCATCAATTTTCGTAATCCTTGAGAAGAAAATCCTAAGATTACGAAATTTGGACATTATTAGTCAATATTTTACCTTTGTTTTTTTCCATAGACCAGTTAAAAATTGAAGCAAAAAAACCGGATTCTTATTTTTCCAAAAAAGCAAAAGTGATTTTTATAGACAGAATATTTTCCTTCTTTAATCTTTGGCAAGTATTTTTTGTGTTTCCCTAATCTAATTTCGATAATTGTTCTGTTCGGAAAAAAAACAGTCATGGTTTAAACTATAATTAAAAAAATGAATATAAAATGGATGGTATAATTTTAATTGATAAACCACAAGGCAAAACTTCTCATCAAGTGGTTCAAACAATCAAAAAAAAATTAGGAGTTCAAAAAGTTGGTCATGCGGGGACTTTAGATCCTTTAGCAACTGGCTTATTAATTATTTTAGTAAACAAAGCAGCTAAGTTAAGCAACTTTTTTCTCAATAAAGACAAAACTTATGAGGTGGAAGTTCAGTTATTTACAGAAACGGACACTGGTGATATTACTGGAAAAATTACCAAAGAAGAGAAAGTTAAAAATATTGAATTAACCCAAATTCACCAAGTGATTTCTTCCTTTAATAATACTACTTATTGGCAAAAACCACCGCTTTTTTCAGCCATTAAATTAAAAGGTAAAAAACTTTATCAATATGCTCGTCAAGGTCTAAAAGTAGAAGTCCCTGCTCGGCTGGTAAAAATTAATCATTTAGAATTGTTGAATTATCTTCCCCAACAAGGAATTCTTAAATTGTTGGTAAACTGTAGTAAAGGAACTTACATTCGTAGTCTGGTGAAAGATATTGCCGAAAAGTTAGAAACTATTTCTACTGTTAGCCAATTACGAAGAACCAACTCCGGCAACTTTAATTTACAAGAAGCAACTTCTATAAAAGAAGTGAACCAGGAGAAAATAATTTCTTTGGAAAATTTCCCTTCTAATACCTCTTTAGCGAAAATATTGGATGCGGAGGAATTGCTCTTGGCAGACATACAAAAAAAAACCAGTTAAAAATTAATATATATGACAGTATCTTTAAACAAAAGAAAAGCACTCAAAGATAAAAAACGGCAAACAGAAAAAAGAAAATACAAAACTTTAATTAAAAATCAGAACAAAATAATTGAAAATGAGTGCTTTAAACAAAGTGGTTTGAAACAAAGCGAGGTTGATTTTACTAACTTAAAAAATTTATTTAGTCAAGCCCAAAAAATTCTTGATAAGGCTGCCCAAAAAGGAATTATCCACAAAAACAGTGCAGCACGGAGAAAAAGTAAAATCAGCCACAAAGCCAATAATTTAGAAAAACAAATTGGTCTTGATAATTCTGCTTCAAACTCTATATCATTTGAAGAATAATTTATTTTTTTTCTTTATCTTTCATCAATGTTTCTAACTCCTTAATCATTTTTTTCAAATTATCTAATAGAGGTTGATAAACGTTAACTTTATTTAAATCAACACCAATATCTTGCAAAATTGCTAAGGGGTCTTTGTATCCTCCGGCTTTTAAGAAATTTAATAAATTAGTATTTTTTTTGTTTTTAATCTCTTGGTATAACTTGAAAGAAACTGTAATTGCCACAGCATACTTATAGACATAATAAGGAGAATGGAAAAAATGAGAAATTCGTGGTCAAGAATAAAACTTTTTGGTTGGGTCTTTTTTATCTAAAAAATCAGCACCGAATTCTTCATTAATTTTTTGGAATAGGTCGGCTAAGAGGTCAGCGTTGAGCGGCGTGCCTTTTTCTACCATTTGATGAGTTTCTCATTCAAATTTGGCAAATTGAATTTGGCGAAAAAAAGTTCCCATAATTTCTTCAATTCGGCTTTGGAGGAGATAAATTTTTTCTTCCTTGTTTTGGCTTTTTTGGTAAAGATAATCAAATAGTAAATGTTCATTGAGAGTAGAAGCCACTTCGGCTAAGATAATAGGATAATTGGCATCAGGATAAGGTTGGTTCTCCTCAGCGAATAAAGTATGAACGGAATGTCCTAATTCATGAATCAAAGTATTAACTGAATTCAGAGAATCATCTCAATTCATTAAAATAATAGGTTCAACTCCATTTCCCCCAGAAGAATAGGCTCCATCACGCTTGTTAGTGTCCTCAAAATAATCAATTCTTCCTGGTTGGAGAGCCAAATTTAATTTTTTTTGGTATTCTGCTCCTAGAGCTTGAAGAACTTTTTTAATTAAAACAATAGATTCATCAACAGTAAATTGTTTTTGGTATTGAGGAATTATTTTTAGACTAGTATCAGTAGCATAAAACTTGGTTAAACTAAACGCTTTTTTTTTAATTTGAAGAAAATTCCGATAAAGTCTAGTATTTTTTTGCCCTATTTTAATCAAGAGTGTGTAAACTTCCTTCGGAATGTTGTCTCCAATTAATCCTATTTCCAAAGTGGATTGATAACTGCGGATTTCTAATTCCTCCACGCTGGTTCGCAAAATTCCTTCATAAATTTTGGCAAAGGAATGCTTTTTTTCATTAAAATGAGCGGTTCATTTTTGGCTAACTTCATAGCGGAAATTTTGGTCTTCTTTTGGATGCGATTTTTCCATGATTTTAGTATACAAAGTTAAAGTTAATTCTTGCTTTTTGCCTTCGTAATCAATAAAAACTGGTTGCCGGTCAGCATAAGTCAAAGTATCATAAAGTTCAGCAGAAGCATGCCGAGAAATACTTACTTGGCTCAATAATTTTTCTTTGTCTTCAGGTAAAATATACTTCGCCAAACGAAAAAATAATTCAAATTTATGTTGATAGGGTTGTAGTTCTTTATTTTGTTCGATTCATTTAGTGATAGTTGTTGAACCAATTTTTTTTAATTCAGGGTCGATTCAAGATAAGGAAGTGTTGATTTCTTGGCATTTATTAGTATACAAAGTATTTAATTTTTGAAAATCCAAGTTGGTTAAGTCCAAGTCAGCAGCATGTAAATATTGCCCTAATTTGGCTAACTGCAAAGATAATTCTTTTTCTCATTGGAGATGTTGGCAAAAATTCTCTAATTTATTGAGTTTACCCCGGAGTTTTATTAGTCTTTGAGTAATTTGATTGAGGTCATTTAATTGTTTTTCCCAAGCTTGATGGTGAGGAAAAAGATGAGTAAAATTTCATTTGTACTTGTCGTTGGCTGTTTTTCTTTGCATTTATTGTTAAAAAAATAGAACATTCTTGCCAGAATTTTTACAAATTTTCCTTTGAATTTAAGCGATAAATGCTTATTCTTCTTCGGTGCCTTTTTCTTTCTTAATTCTTGGTTTAAATGGTTCAGTGATAATTGATTGCTGAATGCTAATTAGAGATTGTTTTAAAAAGTCTATTATCATTAATAAACTATTTTGAGAACTGACGCTACCGTTAGTAGTAATTGTTAACTTTAAACTCTCTTCTTGCTTATCTAAATCGACAATCACTGGTTCCACTTGTCAACTTACTGTCTTAACCGGGCAATAATCACTATCAAGGAAAATCAAATTATTTTCATTTTTGATCTGAATATTATTTTCGTCGTCTGAATTATTTGTTTGGAAAAAGGTTTTTTGTTCTTTGGCAGATTGGAAAGCATAGTAATAACGACAATATAAAGTAATTTTCAACTGAGAAGCCGGAGCAACTGTTGCTAAATAAGTTTCGGGATTAAGAACATTTAATTCTCCTTTGACGTCTTTACCAGTAACCACATATTCTTCTTTGCCTTGGGAATTGTCAATATTAATTTGCAAAATACAAACTTTCCCTTGACGAGAGAAATCTTCCTGAGGAGGCTGAAAAACTAACTTTTTGAGATGAAAAATTAAATAAATAGGGATTTCTTTCACTCCTTCTAAATTAGCAATTTCATTGGTGATAGTTTTTCCTTTATCACTAATTTTCACCGCAAAAATGGCTCAGCCAGGAACTTGGGTAAGCAAAAGCCTTCGGAGAGCATTTCCTCAGGTAGTAGCTAAACCATTTTCCAAATGTTCGAAAATGAATTCAGTAGTGAGAGGAGATTTAATTGTTTTTTTGATTTCCATTGCTGGAAGGGAAAATAATTCTTGATTCATATGTTTATTTACGAGGTGTTTTGCGAGGTCGACAACCATTAAAAGCTAAGGCGGTTTTGTCAATTAGTGTTTCTACTTGAAAATCAGGAGAGGCACAAATTTTTTTAATGACCGCATCCCGTCCGCTACCAATTCCTCACACAATAACTCTGACCAACGAGATGCCAAATTCAGTTAATTTGGCTAAGGCTGCTTCAGCCGCTTTTTGAGCAGCAAAAGGGGTTGACTTTTTGGTGCCCCGATAGCCAGTGGCTGTACGAGCACTAATTTGAGCCAATTTATCTCCATTATCTTTCGTGATAGTGATAATGAGATTATTGAAACTCGAATGAATGTTAAGGCAGCCACGTCCACCGGAGACTTTTTTGATCTTTTTTACTTTTTTACTTTTTTCTACATCTTTCTTCATCGTTGATTATCCTTGGGTTGGTGCCTTCTTCTTGCCAGCAACGGCTACTCTTTGCTTAGTAAAACTAACAATCCCACTTGGGCGAGTACGGTTATTATGTCGGGTTGGTTGACCTCGCACTTTTTTCCCCATCGAATGTAGTCTCCCTTGCAAGCAATTGATTCGAATTTTTTCATCAATATTTTGTTTTTTTATTTGTTTTAAATCCCCTTCTACCACAAATTGCTGAATCTCATGATTAATTAAGTTAATTTGTTCATCAGTAAGGTCTTTGGTTTTTGAGAAAGGGTTAATATTTAATTTTTCGAGAATTTGCCGAGCACGAGATTTTTTTTTAAACTTTTTACCAATTCCATAAATCCCACTTAAAGCCACATAAACATTTTTTTGAGCGAGGATATTTACATTGCTAATCCGAATTGTCCGAACCATATAATTTATTTTTACTAACCTTGTCTTTGTTTATGTTTAGGATTAACTTTGCAAATAACTCGCAAAACTCCTTTCCGACGCACAAACTGACAACCTTTTTTACAAATTTTTTCAACTGAACTACGAACTTTCATATATTGTTAATTTTTAACTAAATTTTTTAAAATGCTTTCACTACTTTAAGCAGTTTGATAATTTTTGCTTCTTCTAAAATTTAAAATTCATGCTTCCGTAAAAACATTGAACCATTTTTTGTAAACAACACCGCTTTCAAATTTTCTTTAACTTTCTGCTTTTGCTGAATTCTTTAATTTGATTAAGTAATAAGCTGATAAGCAATAAACTAAATAAGCAATACTGAATACTAAAATTATTCAAAAAATTTGTTTCAATCAAGTACTTTTGTAAGCATCTTCTCTTCAAGTAGGCTTTCCAGCACAACGATTAAAAAAAGAAAAAGGGTAATCCTTGGGATAATCATAGGCTTTTGTTTTAAACCGATAACTATTTTGATAGTCTACTATTGGACGCAAAAAGACGTAAAATAAATAAATAGTAGGGCTAAACAGAGAAGCAGATAAAGTCGTTTTTTTTTTTTTATTTAATAGATTGGTAGAACTAAACTTTCAAAAAAAATAAAACACTAATAATGGAGCAATGATGTGCCAAGTAATATTATAAATTATTCACCCTTGTTTAGCATTTAATCCTCAAAACCCAATCGGTATTTTACTTAAACTCCCTAGCCCTCCCTTATGGGGAATGTTAGTTAGAATATTTACTTTGCCACAAGTAATCATGCTCAAAATTCAGCCTGCCACAAAAATAATTCCGCTGGATAGGTTAAAAATTACTACATTTAAATCAAAAAACTGAGTTCAATAAGAATTATTATCTTTTTTTCACCAACGATAAATAACTCAAAAAAAAGTAATTAAAGAAGTTCAAGCGGACCATCAAGTAAAAAATCAAGCTCAATAACTAACGTTTTTTAAATTAGCAAAAAAATTACCCGGATGTTTTATTCTCTCGCGAGCTACATCATTAAATCCACAAATAATTACTGAAAATAGATGAAAAAAAAAGATAGAAAACAATAGCAAATAGTATTTATTTTTTTTGACAGGCATTTAATAAATTTTTAGAAAGTTAAAAGAATTGTTTTGATGAAACAGGAGTTTTTATAGAGTTAAATATTTTACTGCCTGTTGGTGTTTAAGCTTTCTTACTTAAGGCTTTTTGGAGTTCTTCCTTTGGTTCTGGCCGGAATTTTATTGAGATATCAAGCCGCTGTGCCGAGGGCAACCAGGAGAGCTCCGCCGCCCATGGCTCAGGGGAGTCATTTTTTTTCACTTGGTTTTTGGGAAAGATTGGTTTTCTTTTGGGTAGTTAATTTTTGCTGTTGAATTTGGCTAGTAACTTGCTTTACATATTGAGCTACGGCTTGGCTGGTGGTTAATTGGTCTAACTCTTTTTGATCGTAGTGTCAATTAGTTAGATTTTGCTTTTCGGCAAACTTGGTAATGAATTCAACGGCTTTTTGCTTAGCTACTTCGAGATTTTCCGTATTTTCAATTAATTTAGCGGTTAGACCCACTAAAACTTCTTTTTCTTGTTCTCAGATTTCTTTCTCTTTTTCTTTGGAACTTTCGAGGAGATTATTGAGGTTGTCGGTGGCTTTTTTGATTTCCTCTAAGGAAGCATTGGTTTCTTTTTGTACTTTTTTAGCGGTTTTGAGGATTTCTTGAGCTTCATCAGCCGAAGGGTAAACCGGAGGTCGAGGAGTTGGTGAAGGGGAGGGAGTAGGGGGGGTAGAAGGAGGAGTAGTTTCCGGAGCAGAAGGACTAGGGGAAGAACTGCTGCTTCCACCACCTCCGCCACCACCGCTAGAAAAGCCACCAAAACTGCCGGAGTAACTACTGCTATCACTCGAACTGGAAGGAGAATTATTAGGAGTTTCATTCGATTGAGGAGTAGTTGGATTAGGGATGGTCGAGGGAGAGGAAAAATTGCTGCTGGGGGCTGAGGAAACTGGCTCAGAAGCAGTTTGAACTTCTTGTTCTTGTTCTTCAAAGATTGCTTGGGCAGTGTAGGTTTGAGGTTGAGGGTGAGGATTAGGGTTGTTGTTGTGTTGCTGAATGGTAATCTTTAATATTTCGTCGTTAACTAGTTTTAAAGTTTCATCATAAACCGTGTTTTGGCTTCCTTTATTGCCTTCTCAAATTTCCATAATTCTTCTTTCAATTTCGGTAGTGTTGTAATTAATTCCATTAGTAGTAAGAAACACTCTTAGCTTAGTAATGTGCCTTCTTGCTTCAATTTCTCCTTGTGCTTCATGTCAAATGTTTTTAATTTGTTCAAAGTTAGCAGTATCTATCCTTTTCAAGTAGTCGTCTTTGTTCCCTAATTTAGTTTGTGTGTCTTCAAATTGTTCAATCTGATTTTTTAGTATCAAACGACAAATAGCAAGTGGTTGGGTTAATTCTTCATTAGGGACTAGCGGAACATAATGACCACCACCTCCATCTAAACTTTCGCCTTGGTGAAAAAGCCAAATTATCTCTTTTCCATTGTCTTCAAATTCATTAGCACCAAATGCTGTGCCATCTGGTTTCGTAATACCCACACTAAGTACACCGTTGGAGTTGGCAATGCTAGCAACGTTGCAGTCAAGAAGTCTAGCAAAAATGATATGTTCGTCTCCCCCTGTTTGTCTACCAACGTTAGTGTTCTGGGACAAAATCTCAATGTCTCGTTTTCCTTGGATAAGAAAATATTCACTTGTTTCTGAAATTGCCTCTTGGAAAACCGCTAAACGTAAATGATTACGTAAATTTTCGTCGCCGTTGAGCCAAAGAGAAAAACTGTTAAAATAGCAACTGCTGCCAGTACCGCTAGCATTGAGGGCAATAAATTTATCTTTAAGTAGTTTTTGACCGTCCAGCAGAAGTTGGGCTCCTTGGTCACGAGAAAGATTTCTTAAATTTGCTCTTCATTCTGGAGTCATTGCTGGAAGTTCAATGTTAGTTAATTCAGCAAGATTGTAGCCTTTTTCTTCACAAAATTCGGTGAGTTTAGTTCGTAGTTTCTCTTTAACTTTCGAACTTCCGCTTTCTTCCGCTATTTTGATAAGTTTGTCTTTTTCGTCGGCAAAGAATCGAGAGATTTCTGCTAATATTGCTTTAACTTGGTCTTCTTTATCGTCAAAAATATCTTCTTCTTCAGAAATTCATTCTTCGTCTGATTCTTCCTTCTCAATCTCAGTTTTTCCCCATGTCTCGTATTCTTTATGAGAATAATATTTCGCTTTTTTTTTGTTAATCCGCACATGTAAATAAGGAACACCTAATCCATGAGTAGATAATCATTTTGGGTCATCACTTTTTGCTAACTCTTCGTCCATTTTTTCACCTACTTCTTGCCAAAGGGCGTTTCACTGCTCCTCAGGGGCGTTATCATTAAACTCTTTTAGATTTTTATAATCAAGTTCGCTGTCTCCTTTTTTGTGGGGGAGAGGAATAATTAAAGTTGCGTCTCCTCCTAAATTGAGAAAACTACAAGCAGGTTGGTCTTTGTATTTGCTGATATGTTCTTGGAAACTCGAATAATCTTGGTTTTTATCTAATAATTCTGATTTAACCACGACAAATTCCAACTCTCTACCAATATCACTTTTTGCTACGGGAACACACTCCCAAAAATAGCCGCCCATCTCTAACCCAATTTGATATAGTTCTTGTCTGAATAGCTTTAAAAAGTCTTTATTTTTATTACTTAAAAGTTGAATAAATTCCTCGTAAGTTAATTTGTTCCCATCGGCTTTTATAAATTGATATTTAATGGTTTTAGGGTTTAGTTTGGTTTTGTCTGAGAAAAATTCAGGCGGATTATCTTTTGACTCATCTTTGCCTTCGAAAATTCTTTTGAATATTTTTTTTTGCTGTTCGTCATCTAAATTTCCGTATGTTGATGAAACTAGTTCTTTAACAATATTTTTTTCTAATTCAATTATTTCGGTTGCAATTTTTTCAGCATCGCCCTCGCCTCAGTAAGTTTTAGTTATTTTGCCTATTTCGTCAATAACATATTTTCTTCAATCGCCGCCATATTTGCTGTTAAGTTTAGTATTTGATTCTTCGTCTAACGCTTTTTCTATTTTTAACAGAGTGCGGGTTTCCATTAAGACGCGACCCAGTCAGTTTTCACCCTGTCTAGCCAGTTTGGCGAGACGTCCGCCGGGATGGCTTTGTCCATTACCATTGCCTCAATAATCATCATTTCAACGATTTTCGCTAAAAGTATCTTCAATAATTAACCTATGACCGGTTTCCAACAGAAGTTTTTTTAAGTCGGGATGCGAAAACTTTTCTCTGATTACCCACCGCATGGCTCGTAATTTATAAGGAACATCTCCGGCGTGTCAGTCTCCTTTTATGTGAGATTGCCTTGTGGGTTCAGCAGCGAACTTTCGTGCTTTGCTTGGATTACTAGAATTTAAAATCCCGTTGATTAAATCAAAGGAGTCTATGTCGTTGGCAAATTTTAAAGCCTGAAAAAGGTGTTCGGCGGTGGGAAATTTCCATTCTCCTTCTGCCGATAAATATGAATAATTAGTTAATCAATTTCTTTCTCCTTTCGCCGCTTCTCCTTTTTCGTTTAACTGCTTAGGTATTCGGCAAGAAATTGGATATTTTGCTTCTCCGGCGATTCCTGCTATGTTTTTGCTCTCTTTATTATAATAAAAGTTAGATAATTCATAATACGGCTGGTCTTTGTGGTAAAATTTAAGCGGAGTTAAGTCATTATCTTTGCTTTCTCTTTCCGGAGATTTATCACGGTCATCTTTTTTAGTCTGTCCCAAAGCATTTTTAAATAATTCCAATTGCTCTTCTCGGACTTTTTCCTCATTTAATATTCTCTTAATGATTTCTTTTTCTTCTTTGTCGTTTACGTTTAGTCAGAAACATTTATCTTTAATTACTTTCTTCACTAGAAATTCAAAAAATTCGTCGATAGTGCCTTCTAGGCTCACAGTATCACCAGTAAGAATTAAGGCTTCCAGTATCTCTAGTTTTCCAATTTCGCGAGCTTCTTTTAATAACTTTACAAAAAGTTTATTTGACCGAGTTTTCTCAGTAATTTCCCATTGGTCGGTGTCAGAAATTTCTTCTTTGGTTAAAAACCTATAAGCATCCCGGGCACTTTCAAAAATTTCATAGTTTACACCATTGCTCTTAAATTTATTGTATGCCTCATCAATCAACTCTCTTTCCTTTCGGGCTGGGTCGGGGGTAATGCCTAATATTTCCTGCCGGTAGAAATCCGCTGCTGTTTCCCAAGCTTCGGCAAAAAATTCGATGGCTGCTCTTTTTTTTTGTTGAAAATCTCGTTCCGCTTCTCAATTTTCGCGCGCTTCAAAAATCCCCTTAGTTCTGATAAAATTCTCAAAAACTTCTCGTGCTCCATCGTCTTTTCCTGCTTCTTCCTTTCATTGTTCTTCTTCATGGTCGACTATTGCGTAAATATTATTTTCAATTTTATCCAGTTCGTCAGCGAAAAGAAGAGTTGATACAGACGACAAAGAATAAACACCCCTAATTGAAATAATATTTTCAGACCTAACTTTTTTGTCTCGGCAACAATAATAACGATAATAACCATCAAAAAATAATTTTCATAAATCTTGCCTGATCTTCTTTAACTTTGCAATTTTTTCTTTATCATTTTGTCTCAATGAATCTCAAAGTCTTTTTTTTCCTAACGAAACCAAGTCTTCATCGCTTTTCTGCGGGTAAATATCATTAATTATTTTCAAAATTTTCGCATTATCTTCATCGTTCCTTCAACCATTTCCTTTGCTTTTTCCAGTAAGTTTTGCTGTTTTTGGCTGAGCCAAAACTTTTTCCGTAATTAATTTTAAAGTTCTCTCCAATTCTTCCGCTGAAGAGTTAGCACATTTGTCCAATAAAACGTAGTTTTTGTATATTTCTTGAATATCGTTAGTTCTTTCAATTTTTTCGTGTATGTCGTTTAAGTCTAGTAATTTTTCTTCGTCGTCTTTTTCTTTATCTTCTTCTCATTTTTCGTCCTCAATTGATAATTTTGCTTCCAAATCTCGCAAAAGTTCATCCACTTCGCTAAAATGGTGAACATTGTATTTTCAATTATTGATAATTCACTGGGCAATTTCGTCGCCGTTTGTAGCGGCTTCTCGGCATTCTTTTAAAAGTCTGGCAAATTTAACAGTTTGTGTTTCATTTAGGCGGGAATTTCTATAAACTTCTGATAATTCTTCTAATTCCTTCTTTCTTGCAAATCATTCGCTCTCTTTGCTGCTACTTATGGCATCAATCTCTTTTATGCCTGGCTCATCATCAAGCAAAAAAGCCTTATTGTCAAGTTGTAAAATGGTTGAACCAGAAGGAATTTCAATGTTCTCTTCTATATCATTGGTGCAATTTTTTAGATAACCTGAGGTTGGTCTTTCAATAATTTTTACTTCTTGGCTGAGGTCTAGATGGCGAAAAGTAAATTTCTTGCCCCAATTGAGCATAGAAAAAATTCCTGGCTCGACTGCTTCGTCTCCTTGCTTGGTTATTTGGTTAAGAAGCTTTTCCGCTCCTCCTAATTCTTTTACCAAGAGTCTGTCTAAAAACAAATAGTCGATTTTCTTTTCTTTGTATCGGAGTTCAGTTTCGCCTTTGACTTTTAAGAATACCCCGCTTCCTTCATTTTGGAATTTTTCTCTCATTGCTTTTAATAAAATGAAAGAGAGTTCTTCGGTTTTTTTTTCTGGTTTAACGAATAATGTGTTTCCTCGTGGCTCTAAAAGGCTCTTTTTGACGTGGACGATTATTTCTTTCCTTTGACGATCTGCTTGGTTTGCTTCTAATTGTGCATTGCTAAAACGAGTTTGCGGAATTCGTAAAGTGCTAAATCTGCCTTTTATGCCCTCAAATTGTTGCCCGTCAAGACCATAACTAAAACGAAGTTTAATATCTCAATAATCTACATCATTATCCCTTATGGAATTATAACCCTCTACGAGAAAATCGAGCATTACGAGATCTTCGGGTTCTTTTGTTTCTTCGATAAGCTCTTCGGAATCACTGGAATCATTTTTTTCCTCTTCTTCCTCGTATTTTTTGTATCTATTTGCTATTTCGGGAATTTCAGCAAGAACTAGTTTAATTTTTTCTTTATCAAGACAATTATCTGCTAAGTTATCGCAATAGTTTACCAGTTCGTAAGCTTTTTTCCTTATATCGTCGTCTCCTTTTTTAAATAGTTTTCGGACTTTTTCTTGAAGTTTCTTAACTTCTTTACCTTGGGCTTGGAGCAAAAGAATTTCGTGTAAACAACTGAGGAGATTTTGGATTTCTCAGAAGACATTTTCATTTTCTAAATTAGGGATTTCCGGATTTTCGTTTATCTTTTTTTGTCATTCTTCTTTGGACACTAGGAAATTTTTTATTCCTTTTAGTTCATCTTTTTTTATGGTTAGAAGACCAAATTTTTGAATACTAACACGATTGCCGTTTTTTTTGCTCGTAAAAACTTCGTCTACCAAAAATCTAGTAGTAATTCAAGCCAGTGTCCAATTTTTACGCAACTTAAATTCTAATTCAGTTCTTGCCGAATTAATATAAGAATCGAAACTATTAAACGTTAATTTTCTAAATACCCATTCGTCCA